TTTTGCAGCTAACATTGCTCTTTCTGCAAGCCACTCGAGATTTATGTAATTCGTGTGTACATCGGGAAATATTTGTTCAATGAGAGCATTTTGCGAATCAATGATAGTGCAGAAATCATTCGCTAATTTTATGTATCCAGTTTCAGCTATAGTGACTTTTCCATCGCCGATATCTAAGAGTTGTTTTGAGAATGTTTCAGCGGATGGATCTTGAAGCATTTGAACGCGCATATTTACTTTCAGCTGTACTATTTCAACATTACGCCACAATGTAGATGATTTTAAGCAGGCGTTGATTTCATCAGCGTATGTTGAACGTGGAATGACGGGAAGTGTTTGTCTGAAGTCACCTGAAAGGACTAACAGAGTGCCACCAAATAGTTTGTCGTTGTTTTTAATATCTTTCAATGTCCTGTTCAAGGCCTCAAGCGAATGTTTGTGTGCCATGGTACATTCATATTTTCCACTCTAAATACCGCCATGTCACTGCCTTTATGGACATACTTGCAAATGTATTTGATGCTCTTCACAGAACTGCAGAACTCAACATTAATATGAACATTGTATGTTTTGCTCAGCAGGGGCGAATATGGCACGACCCAACGATTGTCAATATCAATGTCTGTGTTGCTGATGTTTTTAATAAATGATTGTCCGCCATTATCTGTATTCCTTCGACGATATATTGGATATCCGTCAACATTTGTGATTGTATCGTTAGTGAAATCTTTAGGGATTTTTTTTGTAGATTTTCCATGTGACATGCAAGGCGATGAACTAAAAATGTTTAACTACTACGCTTGAAGCATAAACACTAATAATAGCCGAAAACTGTAGAGGTAACATCCCTACTCCGTGCTGTTTACAGGGTGAGAAGTGACACCTGTAGATATCTGGCGGGGATAACTAATTAAATGACGATTGATCAGTTTTCGACCGGAGAGGAAAAATGATTAAATTACTAAAATGGCCTTTAAAAAATAAGGGTTAATCGTAGAAGGGTGAAAATTGAGGATTGTATGTATTTTTGCATGTTGTATCATAAAAAAATAGAAATTAAAAAATTTGTCCAAAAAAATAAAAAAAAAATTTAGGGGTGGACTACCCCTAACATTTAGGGGGATGAAAAATAGATGTTAGCCGATTCTCATAGATACCGGATAAGCACAAAAAATTTCATCAAAATCGGTCAAGCCGTTTCGGAGGAGTATGGCAACGAAAACTGTGACACGAGAATTTTATATATTAGATTTTATGGCGCCTTCCGCTTGACAGCTTCCGGCGCCGCGGCGTAATAAACCTTTAATGTTATAAAATTATATAATTTGATATTATTAAGTAATAAGTAATAATTGTACGTAAATAATCAACAGAATAATTAAGATAGACAATATTTAATATTACCTATTAAGTTTGTATTAAAGTAGGTCAAGACGGATTGTATAAATACCGGCGGTTAGCATATTTCAACCCCTTTTTTTGTACTCTACCCGTTGCAACGTGCATTAAAGAGAACTTATTATCTTCGTGTCTCAATTATCGCCGCCACCCTGATAATCCTTCAACAAATGCTAATTTTAAATTCCCAGCGAAGCGGACGAGTACAGCTAGTTTATCATATAAGTTTGGATTTATTACAAAATGTGTTGTAACAAAATGCTTACACAACGTCAGATAGTTGAACTAATTACGATACCAGTGACCCAGAAATTCGTGAACTGTTTTATTGAATTCGAGAAAGTTCAAAACCAAAATTTACATTTCGACGTAAAGGAGGCTTAGGAAAACCCAACATTGTTAACTGGAGCGTTAAATATATGCAAGGTAAATAATTGGTAAAGGTCAAGGGGCTATCTATACTGATCTAATAGTTGCGAAGAGTTAAGGGAAAAGTTTTTTAGAATTAAACTGTTTTTTTTTGTTATTGCCCTTGTAGGCAGACGAGCATACGGCCCACCTAATGGTGAGTGGTTACCGTCGCCCATGGACTTCAGCAATTTCAGGGGCAGAGTCAAGCCGCTGCCTACCGCTTAATACTCTCCACAAGCCTGTTTTGAAGAAGGGCATGTCATAGCGCTCGGGAAACATCGTGTTTTTTTTTTTTTTTTTTTNATAAATAAATTTAATAATATGATATGCGTGAAATGATAGTGAGGATGTCGTTTCGAATGCACAATCAACAGGTTCGAATTGTTTTTACGATCCAAGGTCGCGACGCCAGCGACAATGCGTCAAGAATTCACAACAATGCCGCGATCGGTGCGACAACGACAATGCAGTGAAACTCAGGACACAAGATCGCGACGGCAGCGACAATTTTTCGTAAGAACGCGTCCGGACTGTACGGCGATGCAATCGGAACTGGAAAACATCGTGGAGGGGAGCTCATTCCATAGCCAGATGGTGCGTGGCAAAAAAGACTCTGGAAACGCACTGTCAATGAACGCAGCGGTTCCAGATTATATAGATGAACTCTGCTCCGATGGCGGGAGGTGCGATGATAAAAAGGAGATGAAGGGGTCATCTCAAACAATGATATTAGGAAGTTTTGTGAGTCTGGATTGGTAGCACCGCTTTTGTACTGTGAAAATCATACGTTCCGATTTGAAGAGTCGGATAGGCGTTATATTATACAATTGAGATCTCACCTCTCTCTCTACTGGTGGCAGGACCACTTGTGAGTCCGCGCGGGTAGGTACGACCACCCTGTCTATTTCTGCCGTGAAGCAGTAATGCGTTTGGGTTTGAAGGGTAGGGGCAGCCGTGGTAACTATACTGAGATCTTAGAACTTATATCTCAAGGTGGGTGGCGCATTTACGTTGTAGATGTCTATGGGCTCCAGTGACCACTTAACACCAGGTCGGCTGTGAGCTCGTCTACCCACCTATGCAATAAATAAATAAAGGGAAATATTCGAACTGTATTCAACACACCGGATTTTGCAGACGGACGTTTCTTTTTACTTAATCGTAAGGTGTCAACGTTGTATACGGACATCGACGATACTGACAATGCAGTAAGGATGCCGCGTACCGCCGGAAAATCTATTAAGAAAGAAAATGAAATAGCGCTGCGAATATACCGTGAAGGGAATTTATCATACGTGCATTTTAGAGACAACTCCCTACGACACTTATACGGCAATTGTGTGATAGTGACAAGAATATAATGGGATGACAAACAATAGCCGGAGAACAAAGTCCCGTGGAACATTCAGATACACGGATAACTAGAGAATATACTCTCTTCGTATAGATAGATAGATATATATGTACCGAGAAATAACCAATATATGTGTACAAAGATAGCACTACGTGAATGTCATCGCCCTTAAGATATTAGATCGAAATCAATAAGATAATTGGAATTTAGGCTTAGCTTTTGAAGATCTTTAGTGTTTTCAATAAGTTGGACATAGTCAGTTTTTGTTTTCCAAAAGTCAGTAACAAGATAAACAGAAATAAATAATATTATATTAGAGTACACAAATAAAATAAACTTAGAGGTGTTAATGGCGTGTGGAATTTAGATCATTAAATGAATACTGGTTCAAATAAATTTAGATTATTGACCATTACATAATCTAAAAATAACATTTATTATAATTGTTTTATTTAATTATTGATTTAATTTATGAATTAGTCATTACCTACAATAATTCATATAAATTAATCATATTCTTGTGCCATTGTCGATGTTGCAGCCTATTGTAAAGTATAATAATTTAATTTTAGGCTATTTATTTATTAAACATTAATTGGAATATTTCATTTATGATAATTATTCTATAATAAATTTGTACAAAAACAAACAAAAACCATAAAAAAAAAAAATTCTCTAGATATAACTATGTCCTAATAACTAAATCAAAAATCAAGAGAAGCTTGTCAATATTGAACAAGAGTTAACCTTAATTGTGAAGTACATAACCAATAATCCAGTTACTAACCAAACGCTCTTACAAACTTCTAACTATACAATAAAATTATATTCCACCCATAAACAACCTAAAAACAACTTTTCAATCCATTATTTTATCGATAGCACCCTTTATTTTGAAGTCGTTGGTTTATCGGAAATCACTGCAGCCATATCCCTTACAGTAGGGAAGTGCTAACAGCCCTCGGGCAATCCATCATAGCTCTGTCGGAGCAACGCCCTGCTGAGAACCATGGATCCTTTGACCGGACCGGATTTGGTTAATCCTTAGTAATATTTACTGGCTAGAGCTGGCAGACAACCAATTTGTTCTACTTTTGGAATACCGAAAATATAACATTAGGTATGTTGTCCGTGACCACAACTGATAGAAATGAAATTTCAAAAGGTTTTATCGACTGATTATGTAAAGTCGATAGATTGACGTAAAAGGGTTTCGATCATTTTTAATTTACTTTTTGAAGTTATCGGCTTACCAGAGTGGTCATTGTCGCTTGAAGTATGGACCCTTCGAATTTCGTTTGAAGAATGACAAGCTATAGAGCTCGGAAAATATATGTAGAGTAGTCTATAGACTCTAGCCTAGTAAAGTAATGCTCTATAATAATAGAGCCATAAATGGTACGCGACAAGACTAATCTTTTAAAACGTACAGTGGCTGAACTGCAGTGCGATGTACCTCAACACTGCTCAATTCCTATAGAGGATACAATATAAAATACAAGAATTGTTAAAGTATCCCCGTATACTGCGATGCTCTAAAGGATCCATGAGACCAGGACTATCAACAATCAGAAGAGTCTTCTTCTGTATGCAGTCAAATTGTTTATCTATTTATTTATAATAAATTATGTAAAAATTTAATATTTTTGGAATGAAGTTCCTTATGGGACGATGCTGAGGGGTACCCTAACCGGGAAAAAACGTCCGTAACGTAATTTTTTTATTAATAATGTGTGTATGACTTTGTAATAACGTACAAAAAATAACATATTTTTATTATAGATTTTTTATAAATCATTGTGAATAAAATAAAGTTGATAACTTTGTAAAGTACTTTTTTATCAATAAAAAAAAATCATAATAAAAAATGTATACCCGAATAATTGTTTTTTTTTTATAATTTTTTTTTTTTTTTTTATTGCCTTTGTAGGCAGACGGGCATACAGCCCACCTGATGGTGAGTGGTTACCGTCGCCCATGGACTTCAGCAATGCCAGGGGCAGAGCCAAGCCGCTGCCTACCGCTTAATACTCTCCACAAGCCTCGTTTGAAGAAGGACATGTCATAGCGCTCGGGAAACACCGTGGAGGGGAGCTCATTCCATAGCCGGATGGTACGTGGCAAAAAAGATCTCTGGNCGCTCGGGAAACACCGTGGAGGGGAGCTCATTCCATAGCCGGATGGTACGTGGCAAAAAAGATCTCTGGAAACGCACTGTGGATGATCGCAGTGGCTCCAGGTAGTATGGATGAACTCTACTCCGGTGGCGGGCGGTGCGATGGTAAAAACGAGATGCTGGTATCATCTCGAACAATTCCTCAGAGCACTCCCCATGGAACATACGGTTCTAATAGAACTTAAAATTAATATTATTATATTAAGGATCTTCGTTATTATCCGGTGTCCTACGACACCACACATCTTTTTGTACTAGATTTTATGGACAGATATGGAGTGCCATGGTATTCAGAGCCATTTTAAGCCCCGACTGGGATGCTGCTTCAGACCTCTTGCATTGGGATGGCGGCTAATCTAATTATCAAGAAGATTTTTTTATTAAACTCCAATAGAGTAAAGTTCACATGCGCTGCCTATGCTGAAACATCAGCCTGAAGCCCGAATCGTATGCTGTAAAGGCTGTCCAACCCTTGAAACCGTAACACAGACTGCTTCGTAGCCAATATATCTGGAAAAATCGGTAGTAAGTGGCAACCTTTTACTGGTGGTAGGACCTCTTGTGAGTCCGCGCTGGTAGGTACGACCACCCTGCCTA